GATTAATTTCACAAGCTTTAAATTGCAGTTTAATTTGAAAACTAATTCAGCCTCATAATTGGCTTTCTGTTCAAATCACTGAGGCTAAAGATTTAAATTCTTAATATTCAGATGACTTTCAAGTTTCTGGCCCCATCTGCGCATTAGCCCATGGTGTTAATCTCTAAGGGAATCTCTGCTAGCATAGATATAAAATAAACAAACTGGGACACTAATAGAATAATTGACTTTTAAAATCCTGTTTTGTTTTGTTTTGTTTTTAAATATACTGCTTATTTTTATGAGATACCTTAAACACAATTTGCCACATATAGATTTGACTCCCAGCGATTTCATTTTTCACAGGGCACATTATCAACAATTACTGTGTCAGAGTCCCATGAAATCAAGAGCAGACAGGAAAATTTCAAATTACAACATATTTTCATGTTGGAAATACTGATTTCCCTTTATGTTGGGAGACTGTCCATTTTTAACATACCTTCACACCACCAGAATAAACCATCCTGCCCACACAAAACCATAAGATAGAAAGAGTTGGCCAAAACTACAGCTTGGACTTGTGCTACTGACTTGGAAGGGACCGAGATGCATCTATGGAGTCAGTGAACTGGAAAGGATGAATGGGAATGGAAAAGGCCAATCTGACAGGAACAAATGGTTTTGGAGAGATGCGTTAATTTTTGACAACCTCACTGTTAAAACAAAATAGATACAACCCAGAGCAAAGCATTTGAGTCACTGCAGACCATTTCACATTGACCTTTTCAGAACAGAATACTTCACTAAAGTAAGACATCCCCACCCCACCATAAGGTACTTTTTGTGTTGGCTATATTAAAACTGAGCTTCTGCAGTGACCAAAGTAATTTTTCTCCACATTTTTGTTTTGTGACTAAATTCCTTTTTTTTTTTTTTTTTTCCCACTCTAAAAGTTAAACACTCCCATACTAAATCACTCTGAAACCAAACTGTTGTAAAGCATCACTCCTCTTCTCTGGGACACCCCTGGGAGGCTGAGGGCTGGGCGTATTGCTACAGCACGGGGCTCCTGGCAGGCAGTAATTGGGGTTGAACAGAGGGAAAAGCCCACCCCAAACCTGTGCAGAGCCATGGGCTTTGAAAGGGCAGCAGGAACCCAGGCTGTGTGAGCCGTCTCGCTTTATCAGTGCTTGAAAGGCAGCTTGGGTAGCTCCGGGAGAACTTTGCTGATTAAGGCTACCAGAGGGACCAGGGGGATTTCAGCTCTAGCTTGCAGCTGCATTTTTAAAACTTGGCTGTGTTCTTCATATATAGGCAAAGTTCAAAGAGGCAGAACATTATTCAATATGAGTAAAACATGGCCTTTTAAGATACACTTTCAAACAGTGGCTCGTTAAATCAAAACAACTTGTGGGGGAAAGAGAGAAAGGAAGAAAGATGGTCATGTGAAAAAGAGAATCCTTTAGCGTTGCTATTCCTGCTTTGCATTTCTGGAAGAGCCCACATTTACACATTTAAGCTGTCCAGCTGCATGACCTTAGGCAAGATAAACCAGAAATACATTAACATGTTTCAGAGAGTATCAAAAAAGGAAAAAGAAATGCAGTGCAGTTTAAGAGCCAGCACACACTGAAGGATTTACATAGGGCAGGCTGCAACGCATGCATTCACACTACGGAGAATTTTTTATTGAGAGCACTGTGCTCTGGTGTCAGACACTACTTCAATTAAGTTATTATAATCTTAACCAGCACCAACAACCTATTATAATTAATAATCCTTGATGATTTCTTTTCTATTCCTGTCAAGGGTTGCTTCAAGGTGACTCACATGCTGCAGAGCTCCTGGGAGCTCGGGAGGCTGAGGGCTGAGCAGCGCTGGGTCACAAGCCCTGCTGCTGCCCCAGAACTCCACACTGCTGCCAGCACTCCAGCTCTCAGACAGTCCCTTGTGAAGGCTGTTTGTCTCGTAGTCTAAAACAAACCTGCTCCTTCCATGGGAAGCAAAGTGCCCAGCAGCACCACTCCACAGGCTGGAATGCACCATCCTTCCTGCATTCCCATTTTCTTGGTTCACACTACCTCCTTTTGCCTTATTCAATGCAGAGAGAGCAGTCTTACGTCTTACACCTTACTTGGCCACCCTCCCAGCCCTGCAATAGCCAGGCATGCTTTGTAGCCATCCCACAGGCAGGATGCTCTCCTCCAGCTCTCCGCATCCCAGCTGCACAAGGGGATCAGGCTGCAGCATCCTCTGGAGGCACTGTTCTGCCCACAGGACCCTATGCCAGATGCTGTTGCTTCGCCCCGTGATGGCACTGCAGGGCCTCTCTTCCTCTTAAATGCGATGGGCTCCATTGACCCTGCCAAGCAGCCTTGCGGGGGCATTCCCTCCAGCTCAAGGTCACCGTGCCCCGCTCAGTCTGTGTTCAACAGCTTATCTGTGATGGCCTTGCTCTGGGAAATGTTCATGGGTAGAGTTCGAGCTCCATATGTCCCATTTCCTTTTTTTAAAATCTGGGCAAAATTCCTACTGACTTCAAGCAGACATAGGCTGCTCACACTAGCTGCCCACAGAGTCAGCGTTTGTTTGGGATAGTAACATTACATTTACTTTTCTCATAAAAGGTGCTCAAATTTATTAAGAACATTACAGATACTACGGCAATTGAGGAAAGCTGCATTTTTAATCACAGGCCATTATAAATGGGCATATGGAGGATGTGAGAAATAACAGTCGCACAGGATGTCCAGGGAAGCATTTTCAGTCCTCAGGCACAGTTCAATACCAATAAATAGTGGAAAATGAATGCTGAACTCCTATATCATATAATAAGATTTTTTGGTTTGCTTGAAGCAGATCTCCACTTTATACATGGATATACTCACATATACAAATATATAGAGGCATATGTAACTTACTACTGAATCAATATTGAACAAGTTTTGCTGTTAGCTCTAAGAGTATCCAGTGTCTTTCATTTGTCAGCCATGGCCACAAATTCTGGGTCCCTGTTTTTCCTTTCCAAAGGCTGCTTTTGAACCTCCTTAGTTGTTACAATATTCTGAATCAACTTGAACTATAAAGAAGCTTCCAAATCTCTGCAAGATCTATGTTTAGCAAAATATATTGCTTAGACTTGTGTCTGCACAGAACAGAGATACATATATTTGAGGTAAATGAGGAGCATGCAGACTTCCACAGACAGTATCTAACCTCTCTGTCATTTTCTCAAAGACATAACATCATGTTTATTGCCAGGTACATGGAATGAAGACCTCGGATACCTGAATTCCCAGGTGGATTTATAAAAGCAAGGAACAGAAATTCAATACTAATATAAAACTTTAAAAGAATACCGATTAAATGGGAAAGGGGAGGAAAAAACAAATACATCAAAGACAAATGTAATTGCTTTTGAATAAAAACAGATTGCTTTCTACCTACCTGCCTTAAAGGCAAACACTCCAGTCTGGGATACAGAACACCACAATCACTGCTGGAAGCAGAGGCACAACCATTTTGTAGGCAAAGGTATCCTATTCTGATTTAATAGCTCAAAGGCTTATCTGGATTTCAAACAAGAAGAGGATGCAATTTGCCGCTTCCTTCACACAAATGAGCACAGTTAGTTAAAACATCTGGGAACACTTTGAATATTGATTTGTCCTAGAGTAAGATGTAAGGATTTTGACTCGCTACGGAAATATATTAATCTTCCAACCTTGATATGCTGCAAAGTGGCTTTCAAAGGAAAGGAGGAGAAGTCCTCCTGGAAGACAGCATCAGAATGAGCTGCCAGGGGACTGCTCGCTCACCTCGCAAGAGCAGGGTTTGCATCAACACCTGCACCTCACCCCAAAGCACACTGATAAGGACGCTGCACCCCTCTGTTCCTCAGAAGTACTGTCACACATAGTTCCCAGAACGTGTCACCATCACAGCCTGTGCCTCACAGCATGGCAAGACGATCGATCACAGCTGCGATTCACCTTGTTAGAAGCAGCGGCTGCTGCAGAGTTCTCAGTGACACCTCCGGCAATGGAGGAGCCATGACGGATGTTCGCTGACACCAAACAGAGCCATGTGGTGCCTAACCCCCAGCTCAGCCTCCATTTACCTTGGAAAAAGCCTCAGTCTGATTTCAGGCGACTTACAAAAGTACCGGTGACAGTACCATACCAGTTATGTTCAGCAACAAGGTAAAGCAACCCTGGTTACCACATCAGAAACCGCATAGTTCTGCTGCACTTAACTGCTCAACAGCATCAGGGAAAAGAGGCATTAATGATCCGTACAACTGCATTTTCCAAAGATAAAAGCATATTTGTATAAAAATCATCACTCGCACACTGTGTACAGCTTATACTTTTGCTAACTTTTCACTCATCATTTTTCAGAACATCTGCTTCTGATTTTTCCAAATTTTCCCCCATTCTCACAGAATTGCCAGAAGACCTGGCAATCTCAGAGGGACCCCATGAGCACGGCTAGGTGAACTTTACAGATCCCTTCTAGCTCAAGCAATTGCGATTCTATGGTTCCCACCAACAGGGCTGCATCAAGTCCCACATGAGACAGCAGTTCCATGATACTGAGCTTGTAAACAACTAGATTAAACAGCAAGGAGTTGGGTATTTAACACTTCAGTCATAGGGTCAGGAAAAGGTTGGATTTGCCTTCCATACTTGTATTTGGAATAATGGCACTGCATACCTGCAATGAGCATATGAGAAAGGCAATACAAAGCATTACTTCCCAAAGCCGATGCTTTTGCAAAATCCACATCTAAGAAGGGACTACCAGGATCTAACTCTAACCCGAGTTTGCACTTTCTCCTGCACCAGGAGAAATAGATATCAGCTGAATTGTTCTCATCTCCATCAGTCTTCAGCAAAAGAGCCAGCAAAAGAAAAGCTCTCCTCCATTCCCCATATTTCAAGAGGAGGCAAAGCCACCAAGGCAAGATTAATGTTTGAAAGCTTGTGATAACTTTAAGACTATTTTTTAAACTGTACCTGGTTTAGAGCCTTCATCAACAGATCCATTATAGACTTGGTTTATAAACTCCGGTCTGTTGTCATTCATATCAATCACATAGATGTAAAGGTCAATAGGATTCTCCACCTTGTTTCCATTCATATCCACTGCATGAGCCCGGAGCTGGGAATAAGCACAATGAAAGCATAATATCAGCAATTGGATTTGTTGCAGAATGAGAAACCACACTTTGCCTCATAGAGAAAGAATTGACTTTGCCTCATAAATACTTTCTCACAATTGAACTGAGTGGGAAAGTAATTCCAGGAGAAAGCAGCGATGTGGTTTCCATCTGAACTCTAGACATGCATGCTTTTTCAAAGCTTAACATAATATTGAAACAATATTTTAAAATATTGTCAGTGGAAACACTTAGACGCTGGTGCAGTGATGCCATGCCCTTCACTGCTAATAGACCGCTCTGCTCTAATTTTTGAGATGTGCTGAACCTAGTCTGACAATCTGAAGAGCAAATTTTGCTTATTTCCAAACATAGTGAGGAAATGAGATTGACTTGAGAGGCTTCTTATGGGAACCTGCAGCCTTTCATACCCACAATAACAGGGATTAATAAGTGGAGAGATTCCAGAAGGGCATTAGTATTGTTTATTCTTACTTTAATCATAGTCTCTAGGAGCAGCAACGTCAACCGACCCCATTGCTCTATGTACCAAAAGACGTAAGAACAGTCCCTTTCCTTCAAATGCTAGGAGCCCCCATGGCACTTAAGGATGAAATATTTTCACAGGCTTAACTAAAATATCAGTGGTGAAGCATTACAATAACCGGAGCCACAGTGTTAAGTCCTCAGCTAAAGTGGAACTGCAGCTTTATCTTATTAGCAATAACCATCAGTAATAATGCTGGAAAACAAGAGCATCTGTTTTCTGAACAAAAGGGACAGCTACAGCATGTCAAAATGAGTAATTAATAAAACAAAGCAATCAACATTAGACTGGAACAATCAGTAACCAGGTGAAGAAAATGGATAGCTTGCTCATTCAAGGGAACAGATGGCTACTCTAAATGGTGCACACGCTGAATGTTGCCGTCAGCCTCCAGAAAAAGGAGACAAGCAGAGAAAGAGCTCCGCAGCCCATAGGTGGGCACTGGAGGTACCGCAGCACGGTGCTGCAGTCCTTGCCACCCCTCCTTGCTTGAATACTTGTGGACAGGGGACCCTAAAACCCACCTCTGGTGAGCACACTGTGTGCTTCTTCCCTAACACCTTGTGATGGGCAAGCAATGGGGCCTGTGCTCCCCACTTCAGGCATTGGGTGCTGCAGCATGGGAGCTCCCGTGCACAGAGGTCTCCACCTCCTCTGAAGCGTGACAAATACACACACTAATTGTATTAGTGCTGGCTGCAGCTCTCGCTCTCCCTGTGCTCGTTATTGGCACCACTTTCTCCTTTATGTGTAGTGTTCAGAAGTCCAGAGCTTAACAAAAGAAACTGCACGCTGCTATGATAGACTGGATTAACATTTAATCAAGCAAAGAGAACAAACTGCTATGTGAAATAGGCTGAACAAAAAACATTCTTTAAAGGAAGTTAAGAAGCACTTTTTCTTTAGTGACTGAAGAAGTCTGACTTTGCTTTCAATGCAGGATATACCATTTGTATTTCTCGATATGTAAAGGTCTTAATATCTGTATTCCTTGCCTGAATATAAACTGCTTTGACTCCCACCTGTTGAGCTATCCTTCATCGTGTCAGAAGTAGCAATTCAATAACTTTACAAGTCAAAGGTCAGATTGCCTTTGAAAAAAAGTAATTCGGAGCTAAAATTAAAGTTATTATCTTCAAACTGAGGCAGCACTGGGCCGCTTCTTGCTGTATTTCCAGGAGCGGAAATGGCTCCATTCAGAGATAAAGCAGAGAGCAAGGCTGATATCTTCCCCCTCAGATCTGACTTCCCCCTGCAAATTTTTAATTACATTTGAGAGCTTTTGTTTGAAATCTCCAGGAGTTAGGAATTTTTCAGCAATGCGTGTGTCTCTGCTTGTTGCACTCACTGAGCACACATATCTATGACTGGAGTGCTGCTACCTGCGCTCAGTGGAAAGAAGACTCAGTGAGACAGGGGATCCTCACCTGCCTGCAGTGAGCCAGCACAGAGCCAGGATGGGGCTGAGCTATGGGAGGAGGGCAGTGCCTGGGTACATGGGCATTCTCCTGCATTTCCACGAGTTTTCTCTCTGCACAGCTTTTTAACAGTTCTTTGTGGTCACATATCTGTAATCTTTCACAAAACACTGCTCTTCTTCTGTGGTCTGTGTCTACTGCAGCTGAGGGACAAGAGATGCTTGAGACAGAGCGTTGTATCTAAGCTCAGCTCAATGGGAGCTCTTCCTCATTAGATATTGTTCCTCATTAGAGACCACTCCCAGAAGAAGAAGGTAAAGGAAATGGACTCAACGGGGCAGTCTGTTCACTGGAAAACTCACTGTACCTCCAAGGGAGATCAGATACTGCCTTCCTTAAGTCCTCCTCTCCCCATCCCTCTAACCCTACTCCTTGTGCTCATCCCACTTCCTCAAGCCACAGAACCACGCTTTGTTCTGGAGTCATTCTTCAGATGAGAAAACAAGACTCATTTGTGCAAGGCACAGTGTGAGTGTACTGCAGCTCTCAGCAGATCAGGTGTGCCCAGTGGGTGCTTTGGGAGAAGAAGGATGGATGGGATGGAGAGCAGATGCACGTGAATGCTCCTTCATTGTGAATGGCAGTGGGCGAGGCACAAAAGATGATGACTGCCCTCAGTCAGGCACAGACATCACCTAGAGCTGGAAAAACCAGTACTGGAAAGGGCAGGGACTTCCACCATGCACCAACCAAAGAGTGGGCTCCATATTCCTTAACAAATACTGTTTGAAAGTCTGACAATTGTTGCTATCATATTCTGCAGCAGCCACCACAGGTCTCTGCGGTTTTTCCACTGACAGTCTGCCGTGTAAACATGGCTGTTGGCATACAAATGATTCAGTATCATGATTATTGATTACACTGGAGGCTGGTGGTATCTGAAGGTAGTTAGTCAAAGTCAACACAGTGAATTGTGTTAAATATGAGTATTACTTATGCACTAATACTACTAATACAAATATACATTATCAATCAGTGACAGAGACTCTAAGCAATGAGCATACAATGTCATGACTAATTTGTATGCTCTTAATTGTGATTAAAAGTGCAAATTAGGGCTTTGTGACACAAATGGCTGGCATTACTCACTAGAACTGAGTTAAAAATATTGGAATTAGCTCCTGCATCCCTGAATTTTGACTCATCTCTTTTGTCTCCTTGCACCGCAAATAACTCCTTCTCAGACTGCAACTAACCTGTCCTGCTGCAGCCATCCCAGACATGATGTCATGGGTCTCATTCTGAAGGCATACACATGTGTCTGGGACTGGCTGAGGACTTGCTTCTGAGTTCCTCCACAATGCACATTACTTGCATACCAGAAGCAGTGATGACTTACTGACGTGACAATGTTGTTAATGGCTTTTACACACAAAATGCAAAATGCATTGGAAAAGAAAATGCTGATTTACTATCCCTAGGACTGGCCAACTGCAGCTTGATATGAAACTGCTGTCTGGATCAGGAAAGCCATTTGAAGTCACTAGTTCTGTCACCAGTGAAAAAAGGGCTTTGGGAACGCAGTTATGTAAGGTGGCTGCATGCAGAGTCTTAGTGGGCAGCAATAACCATGAAGGGCTGCCTGCAGGAGATGCAGAGACAACCAGAACCCAGCACAGATGGTAGCAGAAGGAGTTGGGCTGGGGCTCACACCAGGAGCATGCCGTGAAGCTGTGCTCCCTCACATGCAGCTCCAGCACACCTTCCTGACCATGTTTACAGCTGGCATTGCATCTGGGATGTCTGCAAGGTCCCTAGAGAGCTTGTGCATTGCTTTGTAGTGCAGAGGAGAAAACAGCTGAGGCCCACATAGGGCTGAACTCGTGGCCACTGGCACTGCAGCCCTGCTGTGGAGTCACCTGGCAGACACGACGAGCCCCAGAGGTACAGCCATCCCTGCATGCATCACACGGAGCATGTCCTGAGAAGCTCATGAAAAACTATAGGGAAGTTCTGCTATAGAACTAATGAGAAAGCATCCATTTCACCTTAGGGAAAAGGTAGGTTCCATCAGATGAATGTCTTGCTAAGCGTAGGGAGAATTAAAATAGTATTTAAAAAATGGTCATCCCAAAGCAAAACAGATAATAAGAAAAAACGTGTTACGAATGTAGGAGTTAATGAAAAAGAACTCTTCAGCTGTAGGCTCACAAACACTTGCAATTTTTTTTTTTTCTTTTTTTATAATTAGATTTTAGGTCACCTGGAAATGAATGCAGCAAGAACAACACTCAGCAGTAACAGAGGCACCGAGCAGACGTTCAGCTCGGGAGTGCAGAATGCTGGACTCTCCTGGCTCTGGGCAGTGCAGTCCCACTGCTGGCCTTGTGCAGCCTGGGGTCAGGCTCAGAGCATCCAACAGAGCTCAGGAAAACCCCATAGCAGGTGTCAAACCAACACAAAGATGGTCAGCCCTGAGTCCCTGCTTTCTGGCGCTCAGTATGAGTTCCAGGTCTGCTTTTGCTTTTCACTGAGTGGCTGGGCTGTCTGAAATGGTGAACATTCACTGTCTTCACCAAAACTGGAACAGCCAAAGCTCGGAGCTGGATATTCATTCTGGAGGCTGGCCCCATATTTCCAGCTTCCATGATGGTCCATTCCTGCTCTATGAACTCTGTACCAGTGTTCTGATCACTGCTTTGAAGATGATGTATTTATAAACGCTTTGTAAGGGATTATTAAATGAACAATTGATGATTCAATAAATCATCAATCAATTTCTACTGAGGCTAAGGGATCTAAAAATTGTTTACAGCCGTGACTGAAATGATCTCTATCATCTTCCATTGTTCTGCTAAAAAGATTTTCTATCACTCACTATTCTTGTCTGTAAGCTTTCATAACATATTTATCAGCAATCCACTCTCCATAACCTGTATGTTCCTGTAACCTTCAGAGAGTGAATCTTTTACTCGTGCTTGGAGCTGCCAGATCAAGGTTTCTGTAAAGAACAGGAGGGCTGGAATTCCAGTGGTGTGCACCATTCACAGAGGTGACAATTCAGTCTGCTGAGTTCCTTGAAACTCTCAGGTTAATTTTGTTATTAGGGCACTGCACAAGCTTTTACTGCAAGGAAATCTTTTTCAGCACATTTTTTGACTTAGAGTGTCCATTACTAGACATCATACAGACTCCATCTAAAGCATTTATGTGTGCATAGTTTTACCAACTACATCATTTTATAATAATCCAGCACCGCTGAAACAATATCAACAATGATGAGATGACACACACAGTATCATCTCAAATATTCCTTTTCCAAAATGATTTCCCTTCATATTTTCACAGGCACCACAAACAAAATAATTGTTCACGTTCACAGAGGATAAAATAACTCCCCTTCAGACTCCCCTTCACCCAGGAGAAATCTTTTTCCACCCAGCTGAAGAGGCAATCTATTTCTTTGTCCTCTCACCCCAGTCCCAAAGGTGTGTCAACATGGTTAACTGGACACCTGATAAAGCTGAAAGAATGTGTGTCTCTGATGGAGCAGTTGGGGATGGTGTCAGTGCAAGTGACCCATATTTCATCATTGACATCATAGCATCCCTGGGAAGGGCTGTTATGATGCCCACAGATGTGGCTACTGCTGATATAAAGCAATCCATGAAACGACCTATTACAGCCTCTCTGGGAGACAACTAAAGCGTAGATGCAGAAAGCATTTGAAATTTTGCAGAGCCATCATGTGAGGTGCAACACTTTTTTAAAGCAATTTGTGGGGCCGTGTCCTCTGTGCAATTACACCATGTAATGTACAGACTGTGATTTATATCACAACATAACGACCAATTACACTCAAAGCATATTGCAGGTAGAGCATTTTAAGAACTAGGGTAGTGAAAGGCAGCACTTTTGAGAGTAATTAATCTTAATTAATTCCCTCGTATTTAATATTAGCCTATCTGCATATTTAAAAACCTATCTGACACACCCCCATCATACTGCCTGAACATCTCCTAGTAATTTAAAATGAAAAATGACGATGCCAATTATTGCATGTTTAGCTGCAGTAATGATTCCTAAATTAGCAGTTTCCCAAGACATGCTAATGTTGCGGATGGTTTCGCACGGTTTTGAGGGGTTCAGTCCGCAGATAAATCTGCATGGATTTAATAAGCAGTGTGCAGTTGCACCACTATAAAGAAATGGGTGGCTCTGTGCTGGAAAAGGACATTGGTTTAAGGCTGCTTTGCACTGGCGTGGCTGATAGAGCCTGCAAACCTAGATAAACCCCCAACTGTCTTTTTTCCCCTTGGTGTATCGTGCTCACATGGTAGGAGGCTCTTTCCTCTCTGTCCATCGGGCGGGTCACATACATCCTCCCAGACACAGGGTCAATGCTGAAGACTTCCATTGGCGGCTGGTCGGCTCCCACTCCGGTGATGCTGTACCTGATATGGATCTCTTTGTCCTTATCGGAACGAATCTGGATGGAACAACAAACGTCAATAAGCTTTGGACAAAAGCCATATGGATGTTTAAACAACTTTAAAGATCCGAGCCTGGAATCTGCATAAATGTAAAACCGCTGTCAATTTTGACAAGGAACTCGAGCTGTATGCCGAAGATTTGGGAAAAAGCCAGGAAAACTTTCTTCCACATATTTTGTTATTTTTTCTCCTCTTTTATTCATGATGATCCTCTAGGAATCATTGAAATTCTGACTTTTTGCCTTAGAAGTGGGAGAATATATATGCATAAAAAATGCCGTTTACTTGCTATTGAAACCATAAGCTCCTGAAAGTGCCCAGATTGTTCAGTTACAGCCAACACCTCACAGCTATTCACCACTTTCAGAAATACTCCCTGCTGTCCCCTCCATCCTGTTCTCAGTTCATGTAACTGTGCACACAAATGTTCCCACGACATTCATAGAGCCAAACTCCTTGTTCCTGCCTTGTCCAGCCCTGCAGGATGGAGGAGGGAGGCTGGGAATGCCTGGTAGGACGTTATCATTTGCCCATTTGCCCGTTTGTTGAGGAAAGGTGCGTCTGGCACATTGCTTTTGAAACTCCTTCCCTCCCATACCTTGAGAAGCACATAACAAATCAAATACAGCATGACGAATTGCACATACCTTGGATATAGAGACAAGAAAATAAAAAAGCGAGGTTAATATGTTGTCCTAGCAACCCTGACTATCTCTTTAAGCTGAAATTTAATTTTCTGATCAAATGCTGAAAGAAGTTCTTGCAACACCATGACTATTCCTGAAACAAAGTGCAAGGTACAAATAAATTACCACCCCCCGCACCACCACAAACCATTCTGGCAGCATAAGGCAGTGCATCTTTTTCCTCAAACAGGTCTATGAATACAACAAAGTAGTGAGAAGGTAATGGAAATCTTGTGAGTGAGTGCATGTCAACATATCCGCTCTGGCAGCTGCCTTGAAGGGGCTCAGCAGGGGGCAGGAGGCCCCAGAGTGGGAAGCAGAGGTGCCTTCCCCAGCAGCAAGGGGTTGGGATGTGCCGTGGGCTGCTCTCGCACTCCTTCCACACATCACCCATTGCTATTTCCTCCTCTCCTACACAGTGTGCTGGACGTTGGTGCAGAAGACACCAGATCGCCAACAAGCATCTCCAAGCATCTCCTTTGATGCCTTTGTCCTGATCGTTACCAAGTTTGTACACTCGTTTCTTCGCACTGCCTCCATTGAGCAGTCTGCTGCTGCCAACAGCTAATGATGTCAGTTATTGCTCGGCACCGTGAGGATTGATTCGTGCTGCACCCACACTGCTGGAGCTGAAGGTCAGGGAATACAGACAGTTTCATCTGTCTTTCTCTACAGGATTCACTGCTTCTTTAGGCTATTAGCACCAAGAAAAACTGATAGGGCTTGCACTGGTGTCATCACTTAGAACAGGTACTGGGGACACAGAGAAAGTGCCCTCGTGCCTCACACCACCGTTTATGCAGGTCTGTGTGTGCCCAGTGGGTATTTGTAATAGGGACCCAAGCAGTCAGGCAGGAATCCAATTTTCATTAGCAAATCCATGGGTGAAGAAGAGTATATTAAACCTAAGCTTAGCTTTGCTTGCACAACTGTGGTTTTAATGACGGCAAATGGCCCCTCAGCTCAGTAACTGAAGTCTGCAGTGCCCATTTTTAGAAGCTCAGCTCTCACCCCGTCAGGTAGGCAGGGCTGGAAATGGGATTTATGTGAATGTCTGTGCAAATGAATAACTCAAGTCAGGAGGTCAGGCTCAAGGTAAGTGAAAACGTAGGAAGCCACGTTTGTGGCGTTGAGTCAGTGTGGGGTTTCCATCTCTGAAATTAAGAAGAAAGAACAGAAAAAGGTAACTCAGGCCACATAGCTGTGTGCCCATCACCATCAGTGTACCTGCATCAGGGTGTCTGCACATTTGCTGCCTTTTTGCTCACTGAAACACAGAAGCCAGGAGGGGCTCCTCAGGCACAGACCCAACCCCAATTCAGCTCAGCTACAGCCATGACTAGAGCACAAGCACCAAACACCAAACCAGCCTCCCTTCAAGAACTGAAATGGAAGCAATTTTAACCTGAATCACAGAAGAGGGGCGTCTGCCAGTTCTTCATGGACGTTTTTATGCTCTATTTCCTGTTGCATACAGTACCCCGATCCCACTGTGATAGAAGCATTAGAAATGCATAGAGAGAGACAGAAACATGGAAAAAGAGGCTGGATTTAAATATTTAGTGCTAAAGGCACTATATTTTATTTTCAGGAAACACAGATAAACAGAAGCTCTCTAAGAAAGCTATGTACAGTTTAATAAAGTGCATGCTATAGGATGTCCTTGCAGCACTTTATTAGCATTAATAGGGTCTAAGCTGTCTGTATGTAAATCACTGCAGATCTGTGAGATGAAATATATCATAAGACCCACACAACTTACTCAATTATGCTATGACAAAATCCATGAGATGATTATACTGTATTGAGCAAAACAAAGACAGGGAAATACATTGCAAATATTCAGCAATGACTCATTATTCATTGCTAATTGCCAACATACTACAATGGTTTGCCTTTTACCTGCGCTTAGCTCCACTTCCATTAAGAGTACAAGGATGTGAAGTGTTCAGAGAATATGTACAAGCAGTGCTTGCCATGGAAAGTTGGAAAGACCACTGACAATGAAGCATAGCACATATTACTACCAGGGAGATATTCATCGCAAAAAGGCACGCTCTTATATTGGAACATGTAATTTTAGTGCTTTTAATGAGATTAAAAAAAAAAAAAAAAAAAAAAAAGGAATTTTTTAACAGTAATCCTGTAACATTTTGACCAAAAGTTTCATTTGCATAATTCCCAGGGTGCAATTTAGTAAATCTTGTTGAGAAGTTAAGAACATTATCTGAATACAATGTAAGGTTTACTTCTTTTGTTGGAACCGTTACTGAAGCAGTTTATAATAATAATAATAATAATAATAATAATAATAATAATAATAATAATAATAATAAATCTCTATTCCCAAGGAATTCACTAGGTCAGAAGAAAAAAATTACTGGCTGGGGGAATTTACAAGCTCAGGAGAGAGTTGCTTTTTCATTCATTTATGCTTGGGAAGTGAGAAGATGGTAACATATCCATATTATAACACTCCGACTGCAGAACACACACATGAATTTTATTCATTTATGTTTCATTTTATAATGCAGTCAGTAGCTATGCGGGTTTCTGGGTTATAAAGCAGATGGCAGAAGGATGGTTTTCCTTTGCTGTAGTTACATGTTTTTTGCTCAGGGAACCCTCAGTGCTTCGAAGTCCAGCACCAGGCATGGCACAACGCTGCATCTCCTGATGGGAGCAGGGTGAATGAAGATGCTTGGTAAATGTCATCAAGAAATTTGCTTGTAAAGCTGCTTTTACTTTCTAAAAGAGCCCTTTGGGATGGAGCTCAGATTAGATTGCTACACTGGTGAGGGAAAATGCCCCAAACAGAAAGGCAGTTTATGGTGGATGATGCAATCTCCTGATCTTACTGCATCTCCGGAGCACAGGTGAGACTTTCCATGCAAGAACCTTGGGATGAAGAGAGCACACCTACGCTGATGGATACAGACAGACCACTTGCACCCACAGCCTCAAAGCTGGATGGCCACGCATGGGCTATAGGGTCTGAGCTCCCAGACTGATTTCCCAGCCAAATTTGAGGCCAGGGGCAGTGGTCAAAGCTTGCAAATGAGAAACAGAATGCCAGGACTCTGACAGAGCTCTCACTTCTACAGAGTAATCCCAGAAACAGGAGAAATCAGCATAATTTCACAGATGGGTATTTTCCACTAGAGGTTTAGATATAATAACTAATGTGTGTGAAAATGAACATTGTAGATCTTGAGATAAGACAGAGCTAAGCCTTTCAGAACTGGCTTTCTGCTTTGTAGCAATGTCACATTTAGATGGGCTTGAAAAGCTGCCAGATTGTGACACAGGATTGCATCCCTCCTTTGCAGATAGAATCTTAACGTTTGTGCATCTCTGCCAGGATTTAACGTGGAGCTCAACTGTTTTCACAAGTTTTACTGGCAAGTTCAATTTCCACTGAGGAGCTCCTCAGAGGTACCAGATTTTATCCCTCTGTTTGGCTCCTGCTGATCTGTAGCCGCCCTGTGCTCCAGCACTTGCCACCCCTCACTGCAGGGTGCAGAATGCACAAACCTTCTGAGTGACAGGGAGAACTGCAAAGAATGAGGGGCACTGAGAGCTGCACGGTCAGCATGTTGGAGGGCTCCAGGGAGTCTGTAAATTGCTCGGGTTTTGGAGCATGACACTGACAAGAAAAATGAGAGAGAAAAGTGGCACAGCAGAGGTTGCTTAGAGTAAGAATGGGGATATCAGGTTGGGTATTGGGAAAAATTTCTTTTCAGGGAGGTGGTGAGGTTGCCATGCCTGGAAATGTTCAGGAATCATGGAGATTGGCACGAGAGATGTGGGCAGTGGGCATGATGGGCTGGATGGGGCTTGGGGATCTTAGAGGTCTTTTCCAATGTCCATGATTATTTGATTCCATGATTCTATGCCTGGAGGGCTAGGAAAGTGGACATGGAGGGAAATGCTGAACAAGGGAGGATTCTGAGCCTACAGAGAGGGCAGCGCCAACAGCACTCCTGCATGTAACAAGCTACATTTAAAGGATAGGAACAATCTTGTATTTATTCCTCTCTTCTGGACACCCACAACCTTTCTACAGTTCTCAAACCACTACCAGTGGCAGGTTGGGACCAAATTTAAGTAAAACAGCAAAAGCAAGAGCTTGCACGCAACTGCAGTGAAGAGAATGATGTAAGTACACAAAGCAACCTTAGTAGGGCTTCATTTTTCACAGCCTCCAGCAACAAGCAAACTAACCTACTTATATGCTCCCCACACCTAGAAACACACAACTGTCTTGGAGTTTTAAGACCTTTGAGTTAACTGGGCAGCACATGATCACG